TCACCTCGCTCTGTGAATCGCCTTCACTCTCACAATTGTTTTCGCTGCTCTCTTCACTGAGAATGAAGGTATCTGAACTCGCTTCACTATCATCAGAATCCCTCATCGCTTTAATATCTCTGCACGCAATTGAAATAACACAAAATAAATATCTTCAGATGATTCAAACATTCATCCTATTAAAAAGTAAACGCATGCAAATACCTCAAATGTTCTGAACTTCGCGTTACTGCAAATCGCCTTCACTCTCACAACTTGCGTTGTCAGGTTCACCCTTCGTCTAATCCAAATTTCAAACCTAATCAGTGGACTGGAGAAGAAGAGATTTAGATTTTGAGCAAACCACCGTCGAGGATGAGCTTTTCCGCTGCAATTTCTCGCGCGTTGGGTTTTTCGCCTAAGAGACGATTCAAATCTTTGGTGTCAGATTCGTACCAGAGCAGTTAATGAGGAAAGAGAGTGAGGTAGGGGAAGTGATTCAGCATCCATATCAGCACCCACGTCGGATGGTAACCGGCATTTGACCTAGAAACGGGCTAATAGCTCATTAGTGAAAGGATTGTGTAAGTTGGGGGATTTTTGTGAAAGGATTTGAAGTTCAGGTACCACTTCGAAATTATAGCTAAAGTTCAGGTACCATTGGTGAAATTTACCCGTCACTAAACATATTGTTGATGTCAAATTATACTTTTAGCCTTTAAATTAAGGACTACGGGGGTAATATTTGATAATAGAGGACTAAATAGGGAAACCCCCTGTTATAAAGGACTAATTATGGATTTTACTCATTATTTTATGTTGTAAAACATTTTTTTCACCTCATGTTTTCCAAAACTTTTGACTTTGTTTTTAAATATGTAAGTTTTACTTTATATTTCTATAAAAGTTTATAAATAAAATAAATTAAAAAAACTTAAAATTTTGTTTACTTTTGAACAAAATTGCAAAGCATTTTGGTGCAGAGAGTATTAAACAATGAAGAGTGACAACTTGTTCTTTTAGATTGAAAAAAATTAATTTTTAACTTTTTTTTAACGTTTTTTTTTCAATTTCTTTGAATTTCTTCTAACGACTTGAAAAAATTACATGTGATAAAAATACAATAACATCGTATATCTAAATTTTTAACATACTACTGAAATACATGGGCAAAGATGAAAACTTTTTTGTTCAAAATTAGTTTTCATAATATTTCTTCCAACCCCATTTAATATATTTCAACATTCAACTTTAGAATGTTAATCGAAAAGAATATGCTCTTATGTTCTGTTTGGTACACAGAATTCAAACTTAAGAATCTGAATTGAGAACAAGAATTCTAATTTTGCATTTGGTAGCACATAAATATGTAGATTTGGAATTGATAGCGCCAAAAATAAATTGAAATTAGAAAATTTAATTCCATCTAAATAAATTTCATAGAATTTGAACTTCTAATCTAATTTCAACCTCATCAATTCTGTATATCAAAAAAATCAATTCTGGTATAACAAATAGACCCTTTATTAATCATGTAACATGACAAAATGTTAAGAAACGAACATTTATGTGAATCATCGTACGTGAAATAAGAACACGTGACCGTTATTCCGGTTTTTATTTTTAGCCAAGTTTCTACGTCTGTATGCATCCATCCACTAGAAAGAAAACGCGGCTGCTACAACTAACTACATGTGATCATCAGAGAATAATTAACACTCGTATAATACCGAAAATAAAAAAAATTAAAAGTAAAGAAAATAATAAATAAAGACTATATATTCGGACACACTCAGGGAATTGCACAAAAGTCACAAACCCTTCCCCGCATTGCGTAATTAACAATTTGCAATTTGTAGCCTTGTCAACCTCAGAGAAATTCCCAATTTCCCGACTTGGTTTTCGATATTCAGTAAAAAAAAAACCCTAACCTGTTTGCCCGTTAGAAGTTCGTTTCTGAGGAGTTAAGGAGCTGAAAAGTGTTAATGGGATGAGGAGTTATGGAGACGGGGCTACTTGGCGGAGAGGAGAATTGTTGGGCAAAGGAAGCTGTGGGTGTGTTTTCATGGCGGCTCTGAAGAAGCCCAGATCCAAGTATAGCTGTCTTCCATCAGTGCTGGCTGTAAAATCTGCAGAGGTTTCTGCTTCGGGTTCAATACAGAAGGAGCGGGAGGTTCTGGACAGAATAAAGGGCAACCCCTACGTTATCAGATGCTTCGGGGAGGAGACCACAACGGGGGAGAATGGTGATATGATTTATAATTTGCTTTTGGAGTATGGCTCCGGCGGAACCCTAGCGGAGAGGATCAAGAGGAATTCAGAGGGGAACAACAAGGGGTTGCCTGAATTGGAGGTCAGGTTTCACACTAGGTCTTTACTTAGAGGGTTGATTCATATCCATATGATTGGCTACGTTCATTGTGATTTGAAGCCCGACAATGTCTTATTGCTGCCTAGTCCTAGAGAGGTTGGGGGCGTTAAGTTAAGGGCCAAAATTGGGGATTTTGGACTGGCAAAGAGGGGTAAACAGAGCAAGAAGAGGAGATTGGAGCCTTACTGGAGGGGTACCCCTATGTATTTGTCACCCGAGGTGGTCAAGGATGGTGTCCAAGAAGCTCCTTGTGATATATGGGCTCTTGAGTGTGTCGTGCTTCAGATGCTAACTGGCGAGCCACCTTGGGCCGAGGACCCAAAGCTAGAAGCCAAGGAGGTTCTTGCAAAGATTAAGGAAGGGAAAACTCCTAAGATCCCTTGTGAGATATCTAAGGAGGCAAGGGATTTTCTGAAGGGGTGTTTCGTGAAGAAAGATATGTATAGATTGACAGCAGAAATGCTACTGAACCACCCGTTTGTACAAGGGTTGGTTGATGATGATGACGATGGTGATGATTATTGGCACTCTGAAGGGGCCGAAACGGTTGGGGATATAAATGTGATTGATACCATTTCCTTATCAACCGACATTGATGAGGATGAAGATGATGATGATTCCATGTACACTTGGTCTTTGTCAGATGAAGACGATAATCATAGAGACACATCATCCTGTAATGAAGGAACAATCGAAGGCGAAGAAAATCTGAATCTTCTAATCCCCATTGCTGATGCTTGTTTTGATACTTCTAGTGATGCATTATTGGATGTTCCTTGCCATGCTAGACATAAGTATGCATTTGACTATACCATTAGTGCAGGAGTTTAAGAGCATTAAAGGTGAGCTGCAGTGTCAGTATTGCTGAGATATAGAGTAAAAAATATGTCATTGATCATAGATTCATTGATCATTCTAGGTCTTGTTCATTCTTTGAAATTTCTTCATCAAATGTACGGAGTAATAAATAATATTATGGAATACAGAGCATAAGATTCTTTTCTTTGGTGATTCTTAACTTGACCATTCCATTTCTTCTTTTTTTTTCATCCCAAACTTGAACACAAATTTACACCATCAAACACTAATTTAAAATGATTAATAAAAAGTACGGAGTAAACATTAAAAAAACGAAGTGGGGGTGAAGTTGACCACAAGCTTTTTGGACAACTTTTTATTCAATTGTTAAGCATCTACTACAATTGCTTCCTGACTACCCTTTTGAGAGATTTTTGGATTGTTCAAGGTTTTTGAGCTTAGCTCTTTGCATCATTTCTTTTGCAGAAAAATTGTCAGAATAATCTCGACTTACCTTATCTTTAAAAAATAATCTCAATTTTTACATGCATAATAATCCTAACTTTACTAAAATTTCTGAGTTTTGGATAGTCGTTAATCTGCTAACACCTGGTTAATAGAAATGATTTGTTTTGTGCAACAAAATGAAGTTGGATGATTTTTAATGATTTTTAATTTTTAATTTTTTTTTGAAATTTTTGATAAAATTTTCAAAATGACTTTCTACCTCCACCATTTTTTTTTCTTATTTTTAATGATTAGTCTTAACTCTGAAAACATTTAAAAAATATATAAAAAAATAACAAAAATGATAAAAACAACTATCACCATAAAAAGTTAATGAAATATATAAGGTAATTAATAAAATCAACCTCAAACTAGTAAGAAATAATATATAAGGTAATTAATAAAACCAACCTCAAACTAGTAAGAAATAAAAACTGAAGTATACGGAGTGGTGGTTTCAAACCTTTTATGCACTATACGGAGTACTAATGTACTACTTCTTCCTGTTAGTCAAATATGAAAATAAAAACAAAAATTAAAAAATAAAACAATTATTTTCTTATTAAAACCCTATGTAAATTAAAAAAATTATTTTTATTATTGAAAAGTAACTAAAATGAAATTACGTTGAAGTAAGCATTTTTTTATATTTTTATATCAATTTTTATGGTTTTAATGAGAAAATATTTTTTTTATTTTTTATTTTTAATTTATATTTTCATTTTTTCTACCAACGTGAAGAAGTAATACATTACTACTCTGTATAGTGCTTAAAACATTAAAAACAACCACTTAGTATAATTTTTATTATTTTCTTATCCATTTTTTATTGATTATATTTTTATTTTATTAATTTTGTATGATTTTAGTTTTTTTCGTTTTTCTTTATTTTCTATATTTATTTTTTATTTTTCTCAGATGTGAACTAATATTTAAAAAAAGAAAAAATTGGAGGGAGAAACTCATTTTAAAACTTTGACACTATGTTTGGTAAGGGAAAGAAGTGGAGAAAGAAAGTAGAGAGAAAATTAAGCTTTCATAGTTTTGTTTGGTTAAAAAGAAATGGAGAGAATGGAAATTTTCATACTTTTGTTTGATTGAAAAGGAGGGAATGACTTTAACTTCACTTGTTTGGTTGAAAGGAATTGGGATGAAAGTATGGAGTATTTTTGTAGATTTGCTTTACTTTAGACATTGTTTTCTTTAAAAAAAATTCAATAATTTTCAATGATTAAAAATACAAAAAAACATTTTGTATTGAAGAGCATGTTTTTATATAACAAATTTATTGTTGTTAAAAATTCTAAACAACGTTACTATTTTTAAATAGTGTTAAATTTATTTTCAAATTAAATAAATTTCATAATTGATCCTTTATAACAGGGGAGTTTCCATATTTAGTCTTCTATTATCAAATATTACTCCCGTAGTAAATTCTATAATTGGCCCTTTATAATAGGGTGTCTTTCCACAAATGATCCTTTTTTCAATCTTCTGGTATGTTAGTGTTAATTTAAAGACTAAAAATATAATTTGACATCAACCTTATGTTCAATGACATATTCTGAATTCTGATATTAGTTAGATGAATAACAGAAAAATAATGAGTATGAAAGCTTGGATTCTGACGAAAGACTACATATGTAAACGACGGTTGTAGTAAAAAGTGACTGTAATTCATAAACAACGCATCAGAAGCGGCCTTTGGAATTATGCATGACAAGAAAGATATATTATCATTGTGAAATTACACTTTTAACCCTCAAATTAACACCTATATGATAGAAGATCAAAAATAGTATAAATGTAGAAAGATACTTATAATGGAAGGACTACCGGGGAAATATTTGATAATAGAGGACTAAATAGAGAAACTCCTCTATCATAAAGGATCAATTATAAAATTTACTCTTTCAAATTAGTTATAAAGTATGGAGGAAATATTATTTTACGTAACTATTATAAAAATTTGATGTATGAAAACTATATCTTAAAACTAACTCAAAAAATTAAAATTTATACAAAATTGAAAAAGAGTTTTTTTAAACAATTTGTAGACAAATTATTAAAAATTTGACCAAAAAAATTAAAAGAAGATTTTAGTACACAAAGAGAATATTCTTTTCATTCTTGCTTCAAGTACATTAGTCATTGGTGTCTTGGCTTAATACCTTTTCATGTCTCACGAGAGACTTGTGATTCACAACATTTATCAAGTTCAAGGCTACCCTCCATGCCATAAAATGTTTCCTTAATTTTATAACATGTTAGCTCGTTCCTTAGCAGCCTTATCTTTTGCACTTTCTGCAAGTTTTTTCATTGCTTTGTCATTATCAATAAGAAATCACCCTAAATAAGACTAAAACATAAAGAAAGTACTAATAGAGGATTTTCATGTTTTTATTCTCTAAATAAGAGTCTGCATTGTGGTAATGTGGCATTGTACATGTGCATTTTATGTAATGTACATGGTCATGATTGATAATGTAAATTCATTTTAACTCATATTTCGAGAATAAAAAAATATGAAACTCTTATTTTGATTTGTTTTCAATATTTTATTTCTATTTTAATCTTTCTATGAGAAAAAGACTAAAGTAGGAGCAAAACTTTGGGATAAAAACAAAATAGGAGTTCCATATTTTTATTCCTGAAATAGAAATTAAAATGCATTTACATTATTAATCATGACCATGTACATTATATAATAATTAAATAAAATATATATTATATATTAATTAGATAAAATATTATTTTGAAAATATTTTATATAATAAATTTAATAAAACTATTTTTATATCAAAGTGTAATAACATTTTTATTTGATTTGGGATCAAGTTTACCAATTTTGACAGAAAAAGTCAAAAGTAAACAAATATTCCGGGATGGAGACAGTATTCAGCATCTGGTGGTTGGCATCAAGTTCTTATCATGAAACTCCAATGCTTCTTTGATTAGGTCATTAGGGCATGTTTGTTTTTATGTTTTTCAGTGGTAGCGAAGGAAAGGTTCTTGAGTAACTTTCACAAAGTATTTAGATGTTGTGTATTATTAGTCCTTGCAAATATGAGTATTAATTTAAATGTGAATTTACTATAGAGCTTGGAACCAAACAGGCCTCTGAGTAGGGCCAAACCGGTATTCCACTATTGGGTGGTTTCTTCAACATTTTCAAGCATATGAATCACTAGTTGGAGCTCCTCAGCTCTGTAGTTGAAGAATTGAAACCTAGCATTGTTATCTACCTCTTTGAAACTCTTAGGATAATTCTTTTTCATCTGATCACCTGTGCATGATTCCAATACGTTGCCCTAGTGGAACCCCCCCCCCCTCCCCCACCACGACTTTGCAGGGTATGGTGACGATGTGTGCACACAGATTTCATTCATACTTAAATTAAAGTTGAAAGACTGCTTTTAAAAGATTCTTGGCTCGAGCAACACAAAAGCATGCAAAGTTGAAGATTTGCATGGGATAACAATCTGCCTCATTCAAAAATGAGAATTCCAACAATCACTTACTGTACATCTGGATGTATGGTCTAGATACTATTTCTCGATAGAGAATTAGAATGTTCAGGTTACCAACAAGTTAGGCAATATAAAACAAGACCATGGACAGGGGCAGAGATTGAAGCGAGTGAACAAACAACGGAAAAGGACATATTACGAGGAGTTGCGCGGTACAAGTGTAGTGGACACCCATCATTAGAGATAGTTAAGATCATATTCCTCAAGATCGAATTTGAATAATTCAATAAAACACGTGAGCTCCATATGTGCACGAAATTGAAATTGAATTATATTGAAATTCTATGAAATGAAATTAGATGGAACTGAATTCTGGTTCAATTTCAAACCCTTTGTTTGGTACCACAAAATGGTATATATAGAATTGACATAGCCTTATTTTGAGAATTTTTAGCAAGAGAATAGTTCAACCTAAGAGTCTGTTCTTTAGGACTGGAAAAAAAAGAGCTAGATGTTGGAAAAAAATTGGAAAAAATTAGAAGGAACTGGAAGAAATTGGAAGAAACTGAAAGGAACTGGAAGAACTGAAAGAAACTGGAAGGAACTGAAAGAAACTGGAGAAAATTGGAAAACCTAAAAAAAATTTAAAAAAATTATTTTAAATTCTTGTTGTTATAAATTATTATTATTATTATTATTATTATTATTATATTATTATTATTATTATTATTATTATTATATTACTACTATTATTATTATCATCATCATCATCACCATTATCATCATCATCATCATCACAATGAGTGCCTTTAAGATACAAAAAAAGTATTGTTATTTTTTAAAAACAAAAAACTACATTTGCAAAAAAATAATTATAATATAAAGTTAGCATAAATATAAAAATATTAAATTTTAAAAAGTCTTTGTGGTTATATTGCACCTCAATTTATTTATGCAGTATTTGTTATAAATAATATATTTGTAATCATGTAGACTAATATACAAAAATTGTCTTATTCACATTAAAAAGTTGAAGAAAAAATAATGAGTGTAAATCGTAAAAATAGTGAGATAAATTTTTTTTTATAAACTATAGTTATGAACATAGCAGTTGTAATAATAATAATAATAATAATAATAATAATAATAATAATAACAACAACAACATTAAAACATATCATTTTTAGAATAATTAGTTGAGGAGTAGAAAGAGTTTGAAGAAAAATGAGAATAGTTGGAAGAAACTAGAAGGAACTGGAAAGAACTGGAAGAACCGAAAGAAACTGGAAGAACCGGAAGCAACTGGAAGGAACTAGAAGGAACAGGAAGAAACTGGAAACAACTGGAAAGATCTGGAAGAAATTTGAAGTTAAAAATTCAAGCCCTAAAGAACAGGCTCTAAATTAAAATCCTAGCTATTTTATAATTCGAAATTTCTACATCCCCCTCCACAACTCTTGTTAGAATAGTGATCATTTTTAAATTTTGTATGGAGTTCTCGGTACTTATTACGGAGTATGTTTTTATATTTCATGCGCTATTCAAATCTATCTCATACCCCATCCCTCTCTAAAGAAATTGTTTTACTCAAAACGAAGTAAAATTTCAAATTTTTTCAATACATTTTTGTTAAAGATTGGTATATAAACAAAAAAATCGAGTATTATTTAAATACATTAAAATTCTACAAAACAAAAAATGAAAAGAATAATCATCACATAATCATTAAAAATATAAAAATAAACAAAAATTCTCATAATTTTTGAATAGTAAAAAGTGTAAATTATTGTAGAACGGGAGAAGTCATAAGTGATAAAGTTGAAGTTCCATGGGGCTTGAAAATGTAATTAGGCATGGTTGCAGACAATTTAATTGAGTTACAAGGCAAAATTTACTTGCACGAAAAGATATTTTGTTCAAGGAATAATATTTGAGACTTCTTGCGTAGGAAATCTAAAGCAGAGCAAATGAATAAAATGTAGACACCATCAAACATTGAATGTGGCATGTGCTCTAGGTTTTCAGGCTCACTTGCCTCATAAATTCTTAGGGGGCGGGGGGATATGTGCTTGAAGCAGGATACATCATCAAAACTATGTTTATTATCCCTCCGTCCCAATTTATAGTGTCTGTTTCGGTTTACAATTTTTGACTGAAATTATTTTCAAATTATTTTATATGACAAATGGTATAGAGTTAAAAAATAAAAATTACATGTTAAAATACTACATCAAAAGATCTACAAAACTACTAGTAGTGAAAATAGTATTTTATTTTATCAAATTGCTAACGAAAATAGAGAAAATGAATAAAATTTAACCCTATGAATAGTAAACGAATACTATAAATAGGGATTGAGGATGCACAATTCTAAGTTGTTTGTGAACCCAAAAATAAAATTTAAAATACAATAAAAAAATTAACATTTTCAAGAAACGAATAATAATACCCAACAGCCTCTCCAAACCAAAATTGGAGAGGAGTAACAACAGGAGTAAAAGTGTAAAACTAATACGGAGTAATACACTAGGAAATAGATGTCAAAAAAAGAGGACATGAGAGGAGAGCTCAAGACCAGGCTTCAACATGGTATTTACCCTCCCTCTCCAAACGCCGAAGCCACCTCATAGAGGTCTCCCTAGATTCCCCGGTAACTTCCGACACGATTTCCTCCAGAGCAGAAAGAACATCCGAAGGCATTTTACTTGCAGAGCCGGCGACATAGACAGCGGCCCCTTCAGCCAACAGATTCCACACCTTTACGCTCTGCTCTCTCATTTTGTGCTGCACATAGACCTTCTGGGGTTGGTCTCTGGAGAAGGCAACAAAGAAGCCTCCTCCTTGCTCTTCACAGAGAACTTTGCCACTCTGCGAATGAGATTGCCAAAAATCTCTGTACAAGAAATCGTTTTCCTCGTTTCTGCAACCAAAGAAGAAGATAACTGGAGCAGTGTTGTTGCCGGATTGGCTTTGGAGAGCTCTTTCCTCTATGAATCCACGCAAAGGCGCACACCCTGTCCCAGGCCCAACAAGAATGAGAGGAAGTGAAGGCGGTGGAGGAGGAAGAGAGCCTTTACTGAACCATGCCGGTATGAGTTCTCCTGCGCGACAAACAAGCAAAACCATCAACAAATAGGGTCTGTTAGGATGAAGGGGTTAAGGAGGAAGGCTTTGGAAGGACAAAGGACTAGTGGATATTGTACCTTAGTTTTACTAAGCACTTTATACAGTTTGCAATTCTTCCTTGGTTTTACTAAGCAATTTGTTACAAACCGCAAACTATTACTAATTACTTTTGTCACTAGCTTAATCATTATCATTGCCAGCATCTTGCTTATCGCAACTAGTTGGGTTGGTGGCATTATTTTTTAGTGCCAACCAATTGTGTAAAATTAATTAACACAATACATCTATGCAAATAACATATTGGCAATGCTTGGGGTGAGATGCCTTGCTGCTGCAAATTCATAAAGAATAATGAGATGAAAGTTTTAAAACTTTCATCATCATAGGTGTTTTCCACATGTACGAAAAATATCCTGAGACGATGAACTTTATGACTAACAATCAAACAACTGAGCCTTAAATCTGACTAGTTGGAAACGACCACATGGATCACACGACACATTGTGATATTCTCCCTCCATCCAAGTTGAAACTTCCGGTTTTGACTTGGCACGGGTACTAAGGTAAACTGAAAAATATATTGACTTTCCAATTTTGCTCCTCCATTCTTCTTCATCTCAGACTCTCAGACCAGTCATAATATCACCTTCCGTCTCCCATGTGTCTCTCCTTCAAATCAAAATCCAAAATCTCTACTTCTTTTGGAGTAAATACAATCAAATCTCTCCAACAATATCAAATATCTTCATCTTTTTCAACAAAGACAAATCTCATCATCTTCTTCAACAAAATCAAATCTATTCATCTTCTTCAACGAAACCAAAACAAAAAATAAAGTGAAATTAAAAGTGAATCTCATCTTATCTCACTCAAGAAAATAAAATCTAGGGTTGAGATGAAGAGAAGATGAAACAGAAATCAAAAAATCAAATCTTAGATTTTTACCCCCCCCCCCTCCAGACACATGCCGTCTTTGTTACCATCGTCAAAGAAAGAATGGATCGAGATCTGCTGCGCCAATTCGTCATTGCTCCTTTGCCGGTGTTGAACGAAGATTGGAGGACAGATGGTAGTGGAGATGGGTGCTGGTGGTGATGAGTTGGTGCACTTTGGAGAGAAGATAGAATGTAGTGGAGAGATGAAAATTGGAGAGAGAGAAAGAGAGAGAGACATGAACGTTGTGGAGAGGAAGAGAGAGAGAGACGAGGTAGATTGACAGAGGGTGAGAGGGTAAAAGATCTTTTGAAGGATATTTTATTTCCATTTTAGAAAACAGGATAAAACAAATGGGACGGCTCAAAAAGGAAAGTGAGAAGAAAGATATGGGACTATGAGTTTGCAGATAATTCTTTTAGGCCATCCTCGACGTCTTTTTATGGGACTCCATTCTTTTTTATCAACACTTCTCAATGGAGCTTTAAGTGGACACCATATCATCTCAATTGATCTTCCCTTCTATAGCTGCCACTCCAACTCATTCGTGAATCAAAACATTACAAATCTTTTCTTTTCTAGTATGACCACACATCCATCTCAACATCCTTATCTCACAACCCCTGTTTTATGCTCATCTTGCCCCTTTAAAGCCCAACATTCACTACCACAGAGGATTGCTGATGTTATAAAAGTCCAATAAAGCCTCCTTTTCATCATCCGACTTGAATTCTATGATTGACATCCTCATTGATATCATCATCCTCATATACTATAGAACCCAAATATCTAAATGCCAACCCTTGCAGAATGACTTGTCCCCCTGATTAACTTCCACATCACTTCGGAGTTCCCTTATCAAACTTGCAGTGCATATATTCAGTCTTATTCGCACTTAGACGAAAGCCCTTCAACTCCAAAGTCCTCCAAATCTCACACTTATAGTTGATTTCCTCCTGGATTGGGCTAAAATGACAATATCATCAACGAAAAGCATGCAGTTAGGAATCTCTTCTCTGATGGGCTGAGTTAGAACATCTACAGCTAGGCAAAACAAATAAAGGCTAAAAGCTGAGCCCAGGTGTAGGCCAATGCTTATGGGGAAGTCCTTTGTCTCATTACAGTATGTTCTAACACTTGTAGTTACCCCCTAGAACATGTCTTTACTCTTTAATTGTCCTGATATAAGCAACCCGCACCCCCTCCTTTTCCAATGCTTTTCATAGTCCATCTCTTGGCACGAGATCATACACTTTTTTTCAGATCAATGTAACAATCATAGGTAAATCCCTTCGTTTACCCCGGTACTTTTCTATTAATCCTCTCAGTAAATAATCGCTTCTGTTGTGAGTCTTCCTGACATAAAACCAATGTGGTGTTCAGAAATTTCTGTCTCCAACCTCAACAAGTGTTAAATCACCTTTTCCTATAATTTCAGAACATGACTCATCAGTTTGATTGCTCTTTACTCATCAGTATATCTTCTTTGTCATTATAAATCAGGACCAGGGTACTTTTCGCCATCCACCCAGCATTTTTTTAGATTTTAAAATCGCATTAAACAACTTAGGGAGCCAAACCACACCAATTTCATTCAAACATCTCCAAACTTCAATGGGAATACCATCAGGTCAAACAGCTTTACCAATACCCATTCTCAAAAGAGCTCCCATAACCTCTCTAACCTGAATCCTATGGTCTGTAAAGAGACAAATTAAACTCACCTTCTAGGGCTCTCGAATCTTCTAATTCACAATTTGTACCTCCCGTTCAACTTAGAACAGTTTATAGAAGCTTCACAATTCCCATCTATTAATATCCTCGTCGGTAACCAAAACCTTGCCTTCTTCGTCTTTTATTCACCTCACTTGATCTAAATCTCACGCTTTCCTTACAGACGTTGTTCTCCATCTTCTTTCTCTAACTCCTTACAAAAATCTGGATATGCTTTATTGCATGCTTCCCTCACAGCCATCTTTGACTCCTTTCTAGCCAAATGATACCTTCCACATCTTCATATATCTTTAATGAATTACATATTTTGTTTAAATAATTAATAGTTTAATACCATTCTTTTTCAATTTTTTCTCTCTTTTTACTTTCTTCTGTCATTATATTTTTGTCCCAAATCATAGTAATATTTGTGTGACTCACACTCACTCTTACTTTCCTACATTTTAAAATCAACTTCAATCATATAATTTTTAGTTTCTTAACTTGCATATCACTAATCTTTGTAACAAAAATAAAGGGTCTAATGAAGCAATACTTTTTATGAATTTTAGATGAAGGTAAAAATGGACATAAATAATCTAACGACATCTCAACCAAACAAAAATAATTCTGCATCGCATTTTATATATAAAAATAATAACAGAAATGATATGGGCCTAACAATGTTAATTTTGCATTAGAAATGACTGATTTCACATGATTTATATATTTTTCTCTACTTATGCAAAAGAATGATTTAGATAAGACAGAAACACGATATTTTTTATTTCAGACAAAATAATTAAATCACTATATTATTAAAAATCCCCCAAAGAAAGGTGAAAGGTGAAAAACCATTGTGAGTTGCAAAAATAGTGTATGCACATTTACGAGTTACCTAATTCTTAATGAAAGAAAAAAGAATGCACAACAATTTGGATGATTACAAGTCATGTTGTGTCTTGTGTCTTGCAAAAATGATCTAAAGAAAAATAATTACTATTTTCATTTCATAAATAATAATTAAACTACTACTATACATTACTAAAACCAATTTTGAATAAAAAAGAATTCACTTTGTAATTGGCTCCTAAGCTTGTACTCCTTTTGTCCTAAAAACATATGCAATCTTTTTTTTAATGAATATGCAGTCTTTTTTTGTTCCAAACTAATAATAAAAATCTCCACTTTTTTATAATTTTCATTCTAAATAAATATTCATCTCACATCTTTTTGTCTAGTTTGACTTTTAATGGTCTCATATAGTACCTACATACGGAGTAATATTTTAACAATTAATATCTCTATTTATATATAAACATATGCTACCTACGTCCCAAAGTATTTATCCAGTTTTGACTTTTTCCAGTCAACTACTTTCAACCTTTGACCTTTAATTAAATAAAATATATATTGTATATTAATTAGATAAAATAATATTTTGAAAATATTTTATATAATAAATCTAATAAAACTATTTTTGTATCAATATCTAATATAACTGTTACTTAATTTGTGGTCAAAGTTTGCCAATTTTCACCAAAAAAAAGTCAAAAGTGGACAAATACTCCGAGACAGAGGAAGTATTATTCAACTAAAATTTATTGTGAGGACAAAGAGATTTTTTTTAATGAATTGTGACATTACATCAATTTTTTATATTTTACAAGATAAATAAAAATAATAACAATAATAATAATAGAAATTTTTATTTTAGAACAATAAAAATATAATAACATGAAATTATACCTAAATATACTTTTTAGCTATCATTGGAAGAAACTGGATTCGAAAAAACTTGGAGCTGGAAAACCCAATGTTTTGAAAACCGGACAGGGCGTTGACCCGGAGGAGAGAGTGGGTCAAGAGCTAACCGGTCGAACCGGTCAACTCGGGGGTCAACGACCTGGTCAAATATATGTAAATAATAATATTTTATGTTACCTGTATATTATTAGACGACATATATAGTAAATAAAATTATTATAATTTATACTTGTTTTATTTCTACATCCAGATTTTAGTTTCATTGTACATATATTCTGTACTGTTTTACACTTTTTGTTTTTTATTCTATTATTTTTCATTATTATTGCGGAATAAAAGTTAATAGTGAATATCTTTGAAGTATTCATTTTTCAAAAACATAAAGACTACATATTATGTTCTTATATACTACGGAGTATTAATATTTTAAAAATTATATTTAGTTGATTTAAATTTTTGAAAAATTAAGAAATGCAATACATTAAATTATAATCAATATTTTAACTTTTAGCTTTGAACTAACTTAAAATTTCATAAAATAAATAAAGACTAATTATGATAATAATATCGAGTATTCTCTATATTTAATAATTATGAATATTTTTAGGTAACTATGTATTATCTAAACAATTATTGAAAGTGGTATATATCCTATTGCAGGACATACGGAACAAGTTCATTATTAGCTCAGGTGGTTAAACTCCTTCTTGAGAGGCGAGAGAACAAGGGTTCGAAACCAGGCTAGGCATTTATATTTTTAATAACTTAGGTTTCGCCTAAACCTAGGAACCGGCCGGTCCTACCCGGGTCATCCGGGTCCGCGGTTTTCCCGATTCTGGACAGTCCAACTCGAAAACGAGTTTCAACAATGAGCTGGACCGGATAAGTGACTGGGTCACGGTTCAAACGGTTGAACCGGCCGGTCCGGTCAGGTTTTAATAACATTGGGAAAACCAGAAGGATTTGAAAAAACTGAGTTGGAAAATGTTGGAAGTTAAGAGTTAAAACCCAACAGAACATAGAAACAATCATCAAGAGTGAAAACCCGATGTTGTGTGGTAAAACACTCCCGCGGAATCACCTAGCAATTAGTACCCATCCTTTCGTGAGAATTTCTTGCTAAAAAGAAGTGAATTTCTGTCCTTATAGCTCCACTCTTGTACGTGATAAAATGTTCCTCTACGTACAGAATTGGCTTGGTATTGGCAGGCAGTTGTTGACACTGGACAAGGCTGATACGTTGTTTCGGAAGCAGCAATGTGGGCCTTTGGTCAGGAGGAGAGCAGCACGACTGGCTTTTGTGTGCACTGTGTTTACATCTGGAAGACGTGCAATGGACTTTGTTTTGATAATTATCCCTTTGTTGTTAGTAGTATCGTGTGTTCATGTGTAAAAATTAAACTCACGGTGTATAGTGTCTTGTGTAAACCCTCTCCTGGATGTTTGATTTATTTTTGAGCTTGCCTTTGTTTTGGCATTGATTTGTCCAGGTAGTATTGTCCTAAACAAATTTGCATTTTGGATTTACTAATGTAAATATTTAACGTTCACCAAAAAAATATAAAATATGGCTCTAGCTTCTTAAAGCAAGTATTGACAATCATAAGATCATATACAGGGAGAAAACAATAATAGATTGACCTTCTCTACTAAGCTCCCCTTATTGATGCTCACCATGTACGTTTGCATGCAGTCCTGCCTCCCTGCCAACATGTCCATTAAGATCTCCACCAACAAAAATCTTTTTGGGTACTAGCATGCCCTGAATTAGTCCCTCCAAATCGTCCAAAAAAATCCTTAAGATGTACCTCTACTCCTACTTGAGGTGCATACGCACTAATAATGTTTATAATATCCGTCTCAACCATCACTTTTACCCTATGTTTGGTTCAAGGAATTCGAGAGAGAAAAGAAAAGAAAATGAGGGGGAAAACAATTTTTCCTCTTTAGTTAGAGGAAAAGAAAATGGGAAGACAAGATGTATTAAGAGGATGGAAAACAAAATTCCTCCCACTTTGGTGAGGAAATTGGGAGAAAATTATTTTCTTTTCTTTTCTTTCCAATTTCTTTGAACCAAACATAGTGTTATTATCAACAATGATACCTACACCATTTCATCCATTAACTTGTATACCAAAGCTTGAACAATTGATATCCCAAGATCGTTCTCTAATGAAAATTCCCTCTTTTATATTGAGAATTCCCAAGAACGTTTCCTATCCATTTAGTTTTTAGGAGGTATAAAATATTTAACTCAAGCTCTCATAAAATCCCCTACCTCCATAGATTTTCCCATCAGATTCACAATGTTCCAAGTGCCAAACCTAACCTTCCTTTCCTGTATACTGTCTTCTTTAGACGCCTCCATTCAGGAGAGTGTGGAGGCCCTTGCTCATTAAAACACTACATCCCGGAAACGATGCAGCGGCCCTTGGTCACTTACCCCACTGCTCAAGGGAATGCCCAAGCATAGAATGCCTCAGTTAGAGGAAACAGCCTAGCATTAGCAAATTTACTTCATTGATCCATGTTCAACTGATTCGACAAGGTTTTTACGCTGGGTGTCAGGGCCTAACACAACCCTCCTTTACCTGGGTTTGGGACTCACAATGGCAAATTTTTTTGGGTAAGAATAAAATCATTAAAATGGTATACCTTTTTATGGTTCTCGTGAATGATAATAAACTATAAAAAAGGTATCCCAACAATATTCATTGTTCAAAAATTAATTAATTAATTAGGTACGTTTTGAACACGTTCATAAAAAATTAATATGAATGGTCTTTTTTGCACTTGTATTAAACTGAAATTTCTTTTGTAATGTTTATAATTAAATGGGGTGAACATGGGTACAAGTAGAACAAACTTAATTAAATAATTAGAAAATTCCTAACATGACAATTATTTAAAAAGAAAACATTCTCACCAATGTGATAGTTATTCAGAAACGCAAGTAAAACTGTACCTTGTTGAGGATCAAGTCCAGCTAACCAAGATGAGCAAAGACCTTTACGCTTCCTTCCATAGGGTGTTGTCCATGCGACTACGCTTACGGTTAGATGTACTTGGTTAGGGTGAACTAAAGGTGATGAAGAGATGGAAAAGGCCCTTGTTTTTAATGGAGGTACGAGTTGAACTAACCATTCAAATGGCATTTGAACTGAAGGGAAATCAACCAGTACCTAAAAGAATCACAATCTCCATGTCAACAAGTTTGAAGCAGATACATATTTTCTACAGCAAATAAATGATATGTACCTCCAGTACAGTTCTCCTTTCCTTCTGATTGTACTGATACAGATCATCTCTTCCTTCAGGTGAAGCAAAATACTGAAGTCTCTCCTTCTCATGCTCAGATGTGGCAAAATAACTCATGATCTGAACAATTTAACATTCCAACAATTCTTATCAATTGAACTTTATAAGAATGCCACAGCATTGAGAAGTGAATGAATGTAAGAGATCCAGGAAAATCTTGTTTTTAATGCTTAACAAGGGAAGGGAATCAATCTCATAACCTTCAGGGTCCATTTGGAACTTGGAAAATGCTAGGGAAGAAAAATATGGAGGAAAATGGAACTATAGAAGGAAAGAATATGCAGCGCGAAAATTGGTTCACACTCAAATTCAATTTTAGATATTTTTCAAATTCATGTTATTTAATACTGCATCCGTCCCAATTATTGATAGAGTATATTTGGTTGAGATTTGTTTAGAAAAGAGAAGTGTTATTAACTATGGAATCTTTTTGTACAAAAAAGAAGAAAATTTGGGACAACCCAAAAGGAAAAACAAGAAGAAAGTAATAGTAGCATGGAGGGAGTATCAATATACTTTTATTATATAAGGACTAAAAAAACTCGGTGTGAATGTATGTTAAGTTTTGAAAGTTTTAATCAAATTTGATTTTCCTTTGCATTTTCCAGTGTAAAACCAAACATTAAAAAATTATATGCTATGGCATTTTTCCCCTTTCAGTGCCATCATGTTGCAAACATAGCCAAAATTTCTCAAAGAAGATATAGAGCATACACAGAAGACACTCATGAAAGCTGTAATATGGTTAGAGCTGGCAAATCAGTTTGGTCACTTCAAGTTCGGGTCATTTTGGGTTCGGGTTGAAAACTGTATCTTCATTACCCAGTGTCATCGGGTTCGGGTTGACCCAATGGGTTATGACTTTAGTTTTTTAAATTTTTAAATTCACATTATCACTTACATTTTCTATTAAATAAATTTAAAATATCATACAAAATGTATTAAATCTATAAAATCATTTTATTTTAAACTTTGAAAATTTTTTTAGATATATAAATCAATATAAGGAATTTAAAAATGATTAAGTTTTGGAAAAAAGTACGATAATTATGCAATATCATTAAAATTTTGTTTGAAAGTACAAATTTATACACTAAAAACGAGTAGTAAAGTGTATGATTTTGAAAAATTCTTACTTTAACGGGTCGGTCAGGTCGGGTTCGGGTTCGGTCAGGTTTGACCCATTTTTAGCGTTTCATTTCGGGTTCGGTCAACTTCGGGTTCAGTCATCAAAACCTTTGTTCAAAACCCAGAGTTTTCAGGTCGGGTTTCGGGTCAAAAACCGGTCAGGTCATTTTTTGCCACGTCTAAATATGGTGGATTTTCCACTTTTACTTATATCTTAGGGAGCCTGTGATCTTTCTATTATATACGAGGTTAAAATTGTAGTTTTGCAAAGCTCACCCTTAAAATAACTCCTAACTCCTAACATATGCCTCATAACACAACCACTGTACCAAACAAACACATTATGTGCATATTATATTCTCTCCCCCGTAAGGCTGCAATCTCAAAACCCCCAAACCCAATGACCCTCACCAAACCACCTGGCAATAAAACCAAAGTTCTCTTGCTTTGTTGATGATAAATACATATAATCATATATACTATCGCCCAACACACTCTGCAATTCTGCATTCTGGAGATAAATTTCTACACCACGAAATCAACCACTCCCGTGTAAGACAAAATTAAATACTCCATCTGTCCCATAAAAAGGTTCCACCTTTGACTTGGCACAGTCGCACACAGATTAAGAAAAGTGAAATTGTGTGGTTGATAGAGATGCAGAGGAGAGAGAAATTATAAAGGGCCACAAAATTGTTTCCAAAAGTGGAAAGTGTAACCTTTGTTTGGACGGGCAAAAAAGGTAAAGTGGAACCTTTTCAAGGGACAAAGGCAGTACCATGGTTGTTAAGTCGAGAAGTCGAGTTGAGTCAGTGAAGATGAGACTAGTGGATTAGTCGATAAGTCAGCCTACTAGTCGTAGACTAGTCGACAAATCACAATTAGTATTGAAATTTGTAACATTATATATCTTCATTGACCCAAGATAACTATACATATTTGTTTGACAAAATATTATATTACCAAAACAAAATTATATTTGAAGGTAGCACATAAAGTCACATTACGAAGGGTGCATAAGAAACCAATATCTTTCAATCTTCAAAAATAACACACCACCCAAGATAATAAGCACAAAAAGAAATAAAAGAGCATATTAAAATATTTAATGCCATGTTTTGAGTTATCAAATATCATCATCCAACGTTACCATGATGATTTTCTTGCATTGTGAAAGATGGCGATAAAAGAGACGTCAGGATTTGAAAAGGGTTTAAGTCAACTGTGATTGTGCTGTGAACCGAGGGGGGCATGGTTTTATGGAGTATTTTTTAAAACTTCATAAAATTTGGGTCGGGTTGGGTCAAATCGGGTTGGTTTCTGTCAGCGACTAGTCGTCGCTTTGCTCGCCTGGACAATTAGTCCACCCAAGTCCATAGTTATTACATCATCGCCTAAGCATCCAGTCGGAAGTTTTCTCTCGCCTTTCCCATTCGACTTGCTTAATTTTCCGGATCTCGCCTAGTCATCGCCGTAAAGATGCCTAGACGTCCAGGCATTCCGACGTGGGCGACTTACGCCGTGAATTGAAAAAATCCAAAGCCCAATTCCTGTTATTCTGGGAAGCCCAATTATTTTTGTAAAATAACTTATCTCAAGCCCAATTGATCTTAAAATAACAAACCTACCTCAATAATTGAACGAGAATTGCGATCTTCACTGCATTGTCTTCTCTCGGAGTCTCGATCACCGTTCTTCTTCGCTATAGGATATCGTCGTTCTTCTCTCGAAGTCTTGGTCGTGACTGCACTGTCTTCTATCAGAAATCCAACCCCTCTCTTCACAGTAAGTCTCTCTCTACCGTAAGTTTAGTTTTCCTATGGATGGACACTAATGTCAGATGGATGGACAGATACAAAAAATCGTCATTTGAAAAATTTTCTTGTGAACAATCCAGAAGGCACCTTTTTTGTTTCGAGTGAATCCCAAGACGCCAATTTGCTAGCCGGTTTATTAGAGAAGAAGATTGAAGAAATTGGTAAGGATAGGGTTGTTCAAGTTGTGACGGATAATGGCTCCAATTGTAAAGCGGCTAGCAAAGTGCTACAGGAGAGAATACCCACATTATTTTGGACTCCTTGGGCAGCGCACTATATTGATCTTATGTTGGAAGATATAGGCAAGCTTTCTGACTTCAAGTCTACAATTGGAAGAGCTAAGTGTATCACGACTTTCATCTATCGTCATGGAAAGATTTTGCAACTGCGTTTCTCACTTTGCAATGTATTCATAAATTTAAAGATGCGTTGAAAATGTTATTTGCTTGTGAAGATTGGAGCCGATCTACACTATCAGCGACAGAGTCAGGGAAAAGAAGTGACATTATTTTTCTTCTAGTTTTTGGGTGACGGTGGAGGATTGTTTGCGAGCAACACACCCACTTTTGTTGGTATTGAAGACTGTTGATGCTGATGAAAAGCCCGCTATGCCAAAACTTTTGTTGGCTATGGATCTAGCTAAAAGCAAAATCGCACATGCTTTACAAGCTAAGCCAACAAAATTGGAAAAAATCATGGAGATCATTGAGAATAGGTGGGCAGACCAAATGGGAGTGAACTTATATTCGGCGGCTTTATTTTTGTATCCGTCCAAATATTTTGATCTTTAGAAAAAAGATGCAATTGCGGCTTCTCGTCATAGAATGATATTCAATGATGTGACAAGGAAAAATAATGGATCAGGTGACCCAATATGACAAATTGTGAGGGAGTTTTGCAAAACTTGTAATTAACCAACAAAAGACAAAAAGCCCAAGTAAGTGCATCAATAAATTCCAATGTAGTATACTAATATTATAACACTAAGTGCTTTTTTCATGGATTGTAGTTGATTGGTGGGATGCATTTGGTGGCTTTACTAAAGAGCTCCAAACTCTTGTGAAGCGTATCGTTGGACTATGTTGCACTTCCTCTGGATGTGAACGCAATTGGAACACATTTGAACACGTAGGCAAAGCAATATTGATATTCTAGTAAAACTTTAAAGTTTAAACATACTCCGTAAAAATTAACTAGCATGTGATTTTTTATTTTATTTAGATCCACAACAAGAAAAGAAATCGATTGGAGCATAAGAGGTTGAATGACTTGGTATTCATCAAGTATAATCGTAGGATTGCAACAAGATTTCAAAAGCGCCAAGAACAGGGAACTGATTTTAACCCTTTGATTGATGAGGCTTTTCATTGGGATAACGAATGGGTTAGTAGTGAAGTTGTTCATCCAGGCCAAGATCTACTCTGGACTACGGTTGATGAAGCTATGAGTGCTTCTACCAATCTTGAAGGACGAAATGCACCGAGGAGAGGTACTAATGAAGCTATTCAAGGTGCAAGTTCTAATGTAGCAACTTATCAACGCCAAAGAAGGTCTACTTCCGAAACACCATTGCCTACTCAAGAATCTCAAAATGGTGATGGTGATGGTGGGGCAGATGTGTTGCCAAATGATGATGAAGATGTGGAAGATGACTTTGGACAAGCACCACCTTCCCCTCATCATAGTGTCCAAAATGCAAGCAATGACTTTTTTTATTCAACCTTTCTTGAAGATTTTTGAGACTTCGTTCTCAAGCAATGACTTTTTCAATTCTACTTTTCTTGAGGGTTTTTGAGACTTTGTTGTGACATAATAACTATCATTCGGATGTTAAACTTTTGCTAAATTTGAAATTTAAACTTTATCTACAACATATAATGTGATATATTTATATTGGTGTTACTAATGTATAGCAATTATCATTTACTACTAGTCGCCTAGTCGATCGCCTAGGCGCCTAGGCGTCATTGCGGTACACTGGTGCAGCGACTTGCCTTGGCGACGTGATAACTATGCCGAAGTGGCTAGTCGAGATGCAAATCGCCGCCCAGAAAATGACCAGACGACTAGTTGTTGACTAGTCGACGACTTGATAACACTGGGGAGTATGAATATAGTTAATACTCCCTCCGTCCAAAAATTATCTTCCGGTCAACTATTCACTAGGTCAAACTTTATTTGCTTTGTTTGCCTATTTTTGTTGCCTATTTGATAAAATAATATAGTCATGTCACCTCTAGTTTTGGAGATCTTTTGATGTTGTTTTTAAATATATAATTTTTATTCTTAAATTTTACATCATTATTCATATAAAATGATATGAAAATAACTTTAGTAAAACATCATAATGCGCAACCAGAAGATAATTTTTGGACGGAGGGAGTATTTTGATCTAATCAATTTTTCTCAAACCCTTTTTCGACAAAACTAAGTATGGAACACACTCGATGATTTGATAAATTACCTTGCTAACCTCATAATTGTTGTAGAGAACAACTTTATTAAGGGAAGGCAATAGGTGGCCACTGCCACAATAATTTGTTATATGAAATGATCATTTTGAATTGGGTAAAAATATGGAAAAACAAAATGAAAAAAAAAAGTGAAATTAATTTGTACGGACCTAGTAATAAAAAAATTGAGATATTTGACCAATCCTAAACGGTTGCCCATATAACTCTTATAAGAAGCTAAGCATAGATGCAAACAAGGGATATAAGATTGTACAAACATTCAGTTAAAGGTACGAAAAGCAAAGCAGAAAGTGGCATACACGCAACACCAGTTCAAGTCTAGTGGGTATGGAAAAAGATAAGGGATATATGGAGGGTCGAACACACATGGAGGGAATCAAAGATAAGCAAAAAAAGGAATAAATTATATGTAATCTATAATATATTAAAAATATGAACAGCAAAACACAGGTGGACAGGCACTTGAACGAACATACAACCTCGATAGGAAGCTAACCGATCCTAAAAGCTCCACACGCGAGAAAACTACACTTAGATAGGCCTACCCTATGACTGTAATCCTAGAGTGTCAAACGCTTCTATCTAGGGTCATGTCCTCGGTGAGCCCTCAAAGCTGCAAGTCTAGTCTAATTAGTAATTACTTTGGCCCCACTCTTATTCGGCCTACATATACCGCTACTAAGATTCCCTACATCTAGCCTCTTGCAACTCCAAAGTGGAGCATCAATACTTATCCTCATCATGCGTTAGAGTCATCTGAACCTAGCTTCATGCATCTTATCCTCTACAGATGGCACACCCACCATGTCCCGGATATCATTTTGAACTTTATCCAACCTTGTATGACCGCACATCCACCGCAATTTGGTTTGCGGAAATAGTTGAGACAGTCAAATTGGTTCGTAGAAATAGTCGGCTCTTTCCTCACCCTCGTCTCAACTACACACTCCCGAGCCCTAAGTTGCACCGAGGCAAGACCAGGTACTTACACGTGGACAGGGTTGGAAACGTGGAATCAAGAACTTTTCCAAATTTTATGAAAGATTTGGGTGTCGAAACATCCTCAAGTACCCAAATGGGCACGTTCAAGGACATGCAGCATCGCTTATTTGAAGAATCAGAGCAGCATAGCCCGGACCTTTGTAATGCTGCTAAGCAACTTGAGGCTCCTATAATTGTTGCAATTTTGGATATCACCTATTACCATGTACACTGGGATTGTCACACTGCCATCCTAACCATCTTGAAAATAACATTACACAACTCTGTTAGCCACAACATCCCTACCCTGCTAAGAGACTTCAAAAACTCAACCTGGACCTTGAACTTGCTCATTGTCATGAATTTATTGTTTGAACTATGCACATGCTCTGAATTTTAATATGATTATACTATTTGAAAAAGTATTCATGTTGATTTCACTCTTATAATCAATTTCAGATTTAGTGCTTGAATATATATGGCTAATCACAATGACATAAAACATACTCCTGTATAACAAAAGGTTGGTATTTGTAGTTAATACTATATCATGACAATAGGATGATGTTTGCTAGGTCTGGCAAAAAATGACCCGACCTGGTTTTGACCCGAAACCCAACCCAAAAACACTGGGTTTTGAACAAAGGTTTTGTTGACTGAACCCGAAGTTGACCAAACCCGAGATGGCCTGCTATAAATGGGTCAAACCCGACCAAACCGAACCCGACTTGAGTGACCCGCTGCTGTTAGTTTTTCAAAATCATATACTTTACTATGAAATACTTCTTTCATCCCAAAAAAGATGTTCCCATTTTGATTTTTAAGAAATTTAAGGGATGTGATGGGTAAAAGTATGATTTGATGTGTAGATTATTAGTAAAAAGGTTGATATGATAGGTAGATTAAGAATTAGTAGGGATAAAAGTTGTTTTTTAATAGAAATGGAAAGAATTTTATGGGACAAGTAAAAAAAAAAGGAGAAAGAGTTTTTGGGACGGATGGAGTATAATGTTATTAAAATACGGTTTTAATTATAGTTTTTCTTACTACTCAGTTTTAGAGTATAAATTTATATTTTCAGACAAAATTTTAAAGATATTACCATTATTACATAATTATCTTACTTTTTTCCAATTTTAATTCTTTATATTGATATATATATATATATATATAGAATTTGCTTCAAAATTTAAAATAAAATAATATAATAGATATAATACATATTCTTTGATATTTTAATTTTATTTAATGTGAAATGCAGGTGTTAATATGAATTTAAAATATTTTAAAAATCAAAGTCATAACCCGTTGGGTCGACCCAAACCAGATGACACTGAGTCATGAACATACAATTCTCAACCCGAACCCGACTTGACCGACCAATTTTCCGGCTCAAATGTTTTCTTATCAAATTTATCTTCAATAATAATCAAAAAGTGCTATGAACTTCAGACTAAAAGAATATATTCCAACTCTATAACCCTCAATTTGCTATGATTTTTACTTGAACTATTTATTTCACTCATTAAAGCAAAATGGTATTGGCTAATGAAAAGATATACTCGTGCACCACTAAATAGTTTACCTCAAAGAAATAACGTCGAGGAGAGGCTGATGAAATGTCCATAGTGAGCTCTACAAAAGTTCTTAGCTTTACCGGGAGCATTTGAGAACATTTGGAAGTATCAAAAAGCTTTTGGTCTTTATCTCTGGGATGCACCTGGCAGAGAAAGGATTCAATAACCAATGCATAACGTATGTCATTACAAGTCCTTATGGAAGACATGTTTTCTATTGATGAAAACACCCTAGCTTCCAAACTAGAGTAATTATTAAAAAAAGCTTTTATTTTAGAAAAGATGATATAGTAAAATAATAGGAAAACACCCAACATAATCACACCATGAGTATTTTAGTCCACAATAACAATTTAGAATTATGTGAAAGGCAGAGTAAGGTATGCTTGCATTATTGTTAAGTATATGATTCAATTATTTGCTCCCCCCCCCCTGTCACATAAAAATAGTCCTTTAAAATGGTACAATGTTAAATTTTAGTAAGGTACAATTATTGGAAATCATAATGTATACCTATATTTTTAAGTTTAGCTCTTGTCTCAACTAAATTTAACACACTCAACTTCTTTGGAGCTTTTTTTTAACATTCACAGTGATTATGATAATAGCTTCTTTTGTTCAATCAGGACTCTTTCTTTAGGACAATAATAAGTTTTCAAATAACTCTTTTTTGGGACGATGGAAGTAAAACCTAAGGAGATAGTACAAACAAGATGACCAATTGACCACATACTGTGATGTACGAATCAGGGTTCAAATTGCAACGCTTTATAAAAGCATCCACTGAAGCAGCACTTTGTCCAGGTAGAACCTCAAGCACATCACCAACTTCATATTGGATTGACTACATACACAATGGGAATCTATTAGAGAATAAATGGAAAACGGCAGAATGAAGCAATTCAACCTTGTTCAGATTAGATATAAGTATATAACTTACCAATGAAACAGGTTCAAGCTCAAGGTGGTGTACATCTTTCCCACAGCCTGCTTTACATAACAGGTCAGTTTTTACCTATGTAAAAAGAGAATACATGAATAAATATGATGGCATCCATTATTAATTACCGAACTTCTAAATTGGGGGAAAAGGGAAAAAAACAATTTACATTAATGTGTATATATGAAAGATGGAGAAAGGGAAGCACACCATCACCAACATCACAATTGCATGAAACTTACATTCAGGAACAGAGCATGCATTCATGGAGAGGTGTAGGTAGTTGTTCTATTTTAAAATGTGATTATAATCCTTAATAAAAATTGACAGCTTTGCCAAGCACAGAAAACTCAAAAACACAAATTTTGATATATTGAATTGCATGAGCAGCCAAAACAAAATACCATTCTAAGAAAGCAATCAGGGTGAATTTTTTCAGAAAGTGTTCCAGGTGACATTGAGCGAGCTCTTCCAATTTGCACCTCAATAGAATTCAGATCTGCAACTATATGAAATGAACTAATGAAAGTAGTCAAAGTACATTAGCAACTGAATGCAAATGGCTATGCCCTTAGACAAAGGACCATAAAGTGTGCACTGAGATCTAACTATGACCATCAGAACAAGCACAGACTATATCATGAATTGCAAAGTCATTGGTGGTTTGTCAATATGAAGTAAAATACTCCTAGGATATTGAGACCTCACAAGTCATGAATCAAATTCTACTACAGTAATGTATTTGGCATTTAGGAAATGAAATCTATCTATAATTGAATCACTCAGCTCCTTATTTTAGGTCTAGTGGAATCTTTTATTTTAAAAAGAGCAATGTTGTGTTTTGTTGATAGCCTTTAAGAAAGCATGTGAATGACAAGGAACTAATAAAAGTGTGGTGGAACAAAAATGAAAATAGATTTGATATAAGTAATAACTTTAAAAAGTTCAAGTGCAACCAACTTTAATATGTTCATTAATTTTTAACATGTTAACAGTTTTATGTCACGCAAAAGTTAAAGATTCTAAAAGTTTGCACAGCAATTCGATCAGGTGGTGTGTTCATAAACTCTAAGTAATAGAATGCCATATTAAGGGTATAATTGATTACACTAGGAGCATATTTACCTGTAACTCCTGCAAGCATTGAAAATGGCCGAGTACTGACATCAGTATCATTAGCATCATGATATGTAACATTTATTTTAGGTTGTTCCCTGAGCTTTGAATATGATATCTCATATTCTAGACCATTTGGGAATATCATTGGATTACTTTGGTGCAACACATTCCATAAAGAAGACATCCAAGGGTCAAAAGCTCCTTCATACCTACATGTACAGTTAGACAAGTCTAAGATCCTTTTTTGTACAACTAGATATGAGATGAGCAAGAGAGAAATTTACATAGCAAATTGTTTGGATTCATGTTCTATGATTCGCATGTTGGTATTGTAATATCAATCATGTAATGTATATCAAAATAAAACATATCTTCACTTATTGCATTTGTCGTGATATTTTCCATGCATGTGCAAATAACCTATGATGATGACAAATTCAAAATTTGCATAGCATTATTCATTTTTAAGCTTTTATGAAGGTTGCCACGCAGAAGGCATCTGTCTTAAAACATTCACAGTATGCTTTTTCACATAAACTAATAGAGGTAATTAATTTTATACAATTAATTGGCACTCAGTACTTAATGTCTCTGACCCTAACTTGTTGGGATTACGGTGCTAATGAACAGGGATGCTGATGAAATAGTTCGGTAACACGTCAGAAAAAAATTAAATGAACCAAATCATATACAAACCCTGAAGGGTGCTGATCATCTCCCAGACCTTTTTCAATAACGGGAGTGGCACCCAAATCCAAGAGTCTCTTATCAAGCTTCTTCGCAACATACTGCACCAAAGAATTCGGAAAATTTTACATCCATTCATTCCAACATTGGAAGTATGAATGGACAATTTCATAAATTTACAAACTCTAGAGGTCATTACATTATATTTCTGATACCCAGAATCACCCAATCCAAAGACAGCATACTTAACATTTTTAAGCCAACTTTGGCTGAGACTGCGTTTCAACAAGAACCTCCAGAACACCTGAAACAAAACCCCAAAATGAAAAGAGAAAATATGCAACTTAAATCAGTAAAACCTGCAGAAAATTAAGAAAATACAATAGTGCATTGTCCAGTAAAGTTTAACAAAACTTTTAGAGAAGACGTGGACCTTCATGGAGTCTGGAGTGTCGCCTTGACCAGTAGTTGAAACAACAAAAATTACAATCTCCTCGTTGGGCAGTGAAGCCTACAAAATTTTGCCCACAATTTAATATATAAGTTAAAATCCAATGATTATACTCCTCATAAGAAAAATACAAGATAAAAAGAGTAAAGATGGGTTCATACAGGATCATACTCGTCGACTGATAATACTAGTGCAGGACAGCCTCTAAGCTCAGCTTCGCGGCCCAATCTTTCAGCAACGTCGATTGCATTTCCAGTCTGTGAAGCATAAAGGACCAGCAATAGCTTGTTTTTCGTCTTCTCCTCCATTGTTGTTTGTGTTTCTTGAGCTGGAACTTCTGTTACAGCCTACTTCATACTCCAAATAAGAAATGGGCTGGAAATTTCTAACATTTAACTCATCTGACTTGAAGGACGTTCCCCCATTAGATTTGATCTAATTTGACTAGTTGAATCTCATTAACTTATACCCGAGTGTTTAAAATTCTTTTTGGTTTAGTATGATCTGATATGACATGATGTCTTATTATCAAATTACAAATATGATCTACTAATTTGATCTGATCTAGTTCTAATAACAATAAATAATAAGTTGAATAAAACAAATTCTCAATTAAATACTCGTATTACTCTATGATAAATATGATAGAGTTTATTGCACCAATATCCTAGTTTGATAAATGTGCATTGTTACCTCCATAGTTTCACAACTTACACTATTGCCCCTCATAATTTTGATATTACTACGCCAATGCCCTTCGCTGCCCTTTATAGTTTTGGAAATGGGCACCACACCCCTCTTTTTTTCTTTATTGCTTTTCTTTTTCTACTATATTTTTCATAAATGTTTTTTGGTTGCTTTTTTAAAATTATTTTTATAATGTTTTAAAAAATTCAAAATTTTTTACGGTTGCAATAAAAGATCACCACCTGGTGGGATAACGTAACACCCCAACTCGTGTAACCCGAACCAACGAGTTGACGAATCGGATTGTTACTGAATTGGTATCCAAACACAATAATTTTGAACATTTAAAAAAAGTCAAATATTTCAAAAAACAATTAATTTGTTTACCGAAGTTGTTTCAAAACAGCGCGGAAGCTTATTAAATCATACCTTATCATTAGAACAAATCAGTCCATTAGCGACTAACAATTCACCATCCAGAACATCCCCTTCCGTCTTGTTGCCCTCCGGGAGTAGCTTCAACAAAATACCAAAGACAAAGACTGCATGCTCGGCTGAAAGCTAAGTGAGAATATATCTAACGCTAGAATTAATTCATAGATACCACATTCATACACAATCAGGAAACAACAGTATATGTAAATAGACAACATTATTGTTCAAAGTAAGGCTTAGATCAATAGACTCGAGTTACAAGCGATGGAGCGGATCCCTCAATGCCAATGCTCAAACAAACCCAAAAAGGATCCTCAATTGGCGGGTTGGAGTCCATACTAAGGAATCCCAAAGGTAAGACAGTGACTCTCGTGCGTACATTTTGAACCCTTGGCCACTGGATATGCAAACATGCTCCACATGGCCCGAACCTAACAAGTCCTATTGGTGTTCTAGATATTCAATTTAGTTCTCATCCGCCTAGATATTCTAGGTGGCCTATTCTCAACAGAGTTCACAATACAACAGAAACACCAGTAAGCTCATAACAATTCTCGTAATCAGAATAGTACACTCAACGGCCTATCAGAAGAATCACGTCTCACCGATTACTCTCATGCTCAAACAACAAGGTAAAATTCAAGTAACATTAAATAAACCTACCTGTGTCGTGAATTCTGGACAAGGGATTCTATCCTCAGGCCCGTTTCCCCTGCCAAAACAGTACGAACGCCACCAGATTAGCCTGGCAACTCACTGGACCAAACTGGCAATCCAAAACCCAAAATCCCGAACCCGCCAAGCGGCTGCCCACCGCCCGGATACCCCGCTGCAACCCCCGGGCAGCTGGCCCAATCGGCCTAAATCCGTCCAAAATCATCCAACAGAAATTCAGTAAATACAACTCGGTCAAACATATCAAATTACAACCTGATAGCATCCAATTGAACCCAAAGCAACCCAAGTGTATCCAAATAACCCAGATTGTACCAATTGGCATCCAAATAGAACCAATGGCTGCCCTAAAGCTGTTCAAACTGTTTTTAAAAAAACTTTCAGATTTTAGGAGGATCATCTAACAAATTTTTTTCAACAAGTTTGAAAAAAAAAAACTTGAGGGGTTTCAATTGAATTCTAAAAAATTTGTAAAAAAAAAATGTGTAAAAAATCTGTAAAGAAATTTGAGGGGTTTCAACAAACATCTCGTGCTAATTGCTAACATTCACTACTTCCTAAACAGGGTCTAGTCTCTGAATTCATCAATAATAGGTAACCAAGAGCTGATACCACCGGCTAAAGGCTAACATAGCTTAAATGCTTAATGCATATCAAGTTTTAACTGACTCTAAGGGCCTATGTGTCTTAATCTATCAATGTAATTTGTAAAAAATCGGTAAAAAATTTTGTAAAAAAAAAACACATAAAACAACTTCAATCTCTAAAAAATTTTGAATTGTAAACCACATAAAACAACTTCAATTAGTAAAAAAAATTGAGGAATTT